AATAACATGGCCACCTTCATACACGATACGGAAACACGATAACAAAACAGTATATCAACATGTCAAGCTGCTGATTAAGACCACGTGGCTGCTGTTGCAAGCAATGCATTTTCCGGGGGTGTTATGGGATAACGTCTTCTCGCACAACTCCAGAATCTTAATGGAGCCTGTCAAGTTGTCCAACATTGGGAACGTGGCGACGGCTAGTGAGGAAATATATTTTTCGTGAGATTAAAGAATGTGAAAGAGAAATACATGCGAAGTGCTTAACGATAACGATGAAGTCGGTAAAGCTTCGTGTCACAAGTCTGTTCATACGTTTTGTACGCGTGTCGGACGCTTGTCAGCGCCAGGTGACGTCATGGGAAAAGGTATGGCGTATAATACATGTCTGAGGGTGTTCACATTGTGATCCAAGACATCTCATTCGTCGCAAAGCTAGTCATACGCAAGGTCTTTGTGACGGCCTAAACCATCTTAAATATTTAGGCGTGCAAGAAAGCTGCAGCCAGCCTACCTTGCTAGTTGTCTACAAAGGTGACAGCAACGAGTATGGGGTAACGGACTAAAACATGCAACCTGAAGTTATAGTTGTCGAAAAATATGGCGCATTTGGCACAAGTACGATTATTCCGGGCTAGAGTTATTCTTCAAACTGCCTGCCCGCCTAATGTCGATGCGCTATGAGCTTCGCTGGCTGCGAGTGGAGTAATATCGTCTATGTGACGTGTGATTTTAAGGTGTTCAAGTACCATAACGATGCATGGTTTTTCAACAGGTTAAAAGACGGGTCTTTTTCAAATACAAAACAAAGGTGGCGAACTCCGCACCATTTCTTTATAACTCATAATGCCTCGCGTTACTCTAGTATCTAACCTGTTATGTTTTCCAAACAAGGCGGATATTTTTGTGTGATCTTGTCACACCTTTTCACATTTGCACAGAGTAAGGGAAGCTCATTTTAAAACGTTATTGAGTGTCGTCGAGAAAAGTGAAATCGTCCAACAAGAACATATCAGCTATCACGATCGTTTCTAAAGGTGCATAAAGAGAAGCATCTAAAATACCTTTTGAATACAAGATGTCTGGTTTAAGTACTTCCAATGCAAGGTATTAAATAGTTGGGAAATTCAAGAGGGCTAAAAGCATCAATTAAGACAAGCAATAGCTGCCCAACACTAATTTCGACGTCAACTTTGGGGGGTGCACACATGAAGGTGAACAAAACAGTAACAGCACTTTCTGTGACATAAAGATCACAATGGCAGACGTTTTGGTCACGAATCTTGCTTTGGTCTCGGTGACCTAACCAAATCAACAAACATTTATCTCGCAATACATTAAGAGATTTCAATTCTTCAATTCCAGCAAGCAAACCTTGCATTCAAACACGCAGAATGCTTCGAGAGGCAAAAGGCAGGTTTCTAGGGAAACTGGATGAGTATCATAAACGCATGAACAGCACTAGCGCCATCTTTAAACCAGGTGTTGATACCATTGGCGCCACCTATGTTAACGATGTTATCCCCTTACAAAATGGCATGCAATTCAAAGCGGGAGATTGGACACCAAAAGCGTACCTAGCTTGTGGAAGAGCACACGCTTTGCGTGATGCTTGAAGCGTTTAAACCGTCTGTGTCCTCTAAATCGGTAAAAAACTGCCTTTGAAAAAGACCCTTACCTATGTGCTTGAAATGTTGTAGCATGTCAAGGAACCCCACGATGACGTCACGACGAGGCTACCAGATATATCTTGGGGCCCGGGTACAAATGATGTAAATGTTCGCAACTCGTCATATCTTGAAATGCCCGCTGGGCGCATGTAATGTAGGTGCGTTTTTTTTTTACTTGCAACTTAAAGCGTTGCGATTGGCGCATGTACTTGCCTGAGACCGTTGATATGCTATCATAAGCAGTAAAAACCGTGCAGCCAACATAATGCTATAAAAGTTTACTTACATGCAAGTGACATGATAGAAGCCACACTCACAAACGTGTGTGCAGCAGTACCATATGACCTTTGCTACCTTGATATACCGGCAAGGAAGATGCGGAATGATGGCTGCTTTGCTTGTCAAGAATCGTGGCAATGTATTCTCATCGCCGGCTGGTTCGCACGGTTGTTGGGCACAGTTACGAATAGCACACGTTATGAAAAATTGTCTCCGCTACAGTCACTCACGGATGACATCAAAATCTTCATAGGATTGCAACAGCAAAAATGGAATGACCACTATCCCTTTGGCGAAGTGCTTACACTGTTGCCAAGGATCTCAAGGCAAGCTGCTGCAAAAAACCTTGATTTGAGCTATCACAAAGGACATCATTGTTAATTGCTGCAAAGGAACTCAATTGAAGTTGCTGCAAAGATATCAATGTAAATGGCTGTAAAGGACCTCACTATCCCTGCACATATTTTTTTCATTTTTTTCCATTGCAGGTTAGATTTCCGTATTACTTGAACATTAGCTAATCTGTGCTCTGAAGCCCATCCCCGCCTGCGCCTCTTCCCGAAAATGCGTATACCTCTTACGTCTTTCTGCTATCCGCTAAGCAGTATTTGGTAGCACCACTTTTGCAAAACCGTCCGTGATAGTGTCGACAATAATGACAGCTGAGATTCCCATCGAACAATGACTCCGATTCAGTGGCCCGGTGGTAGCCATTTTGCATTATTTGCATAACGTCGCCGAAAAGTCACCAGCGTCTTACCACAATTTCGGCAAATAGATCTGCTGGTGTGGACCGGATATCGGTTAACTGGCGACATCTGCCGGACGGATGCACACGTGCCCACCGCATAGGAAGGAATTAGCTGCACAGATATACTTCATAAGGGTAAGAAAGGCTTCAAGCTACTCGTTTCTCAGTGTTATGAGTTGGTTTGCTGAGATGTACGAACCATCAGTATACCTAGAACAACTGATTAAACAACAGTATTAAGCAAGCAGTTGATATGTTGGAATATCCACTAGTCATTACCGTTACCAGCGGTAACATAATTTTTGTGCTGTGCCGCTGTCGGTCATCTGGATATCATGAGCACTGTGTTTAAAATGTTTTATACTGTCGTGATATGTCCCAGTGAGTGCTTGATACCCTAGTTTAACTAGTAAGTCATGGTATATTGAAGGTCTGTGATTGTCAGCATAAGAACTCATGATGTCCTCAGCCACATCATGTTATCTCGATTATTCTGGACATCTGCCGGACACAAATGTGAGTAAATGGCCTCCGATGCATGCATGTTGCTACGTTAAAACTGATCGGTTATGCCAATGACCGGCTTTATGCGAATCCCAGTGAAATTTGGGTAACTGCATTCCCGCGGCTTTATCAGTGCGTTGAAGCGGTGCCTATTGAGCAGTGGAGGTGCGGATGCCTTATTTGAGATAGGAGCAGCTTTTGGTATCATTTTTATCAGCGTGGTTTTATGAGGAATATCTTGCACCTGGGTGTTGCCGCATTTTCCGATGGCTCTCCTCTGAACCCAAAGAGGCTCCTCCTGGAAACGTGGCATGATACCAAACTCAGGCCAGTGAGAGATGTTCTCTTTACGTAGATGTACTCACTGGTTGGGAGTGAGCTGTCTTATTGGCCACCATTGATAACCTGGAATACTTGAGAATCTAGCCTTGCCACTGATAGGCGCCTTTGCCAAACCCTTTCACAAGACCCCTCTGCGCTGAGGTTAAAATGGGGCCTCATATTGTACGCAGGAAAATTTTGCGAACCCGAAGCCCTCCCAACAGAACATCCAAAAAAAAATCAGAAAGTCTGCATGTTACATGCGTGCATTCTCCATGCCCCTGCGCAAACTCTGTTAAGTTTCTAAGCTTATTTGTATTTCTAAGACTGTGTGAGCAAGTTTTCGTGCTTAATCGGTCATGGGACTTTTGGAGCTTGCATGAACCCAGGTAAAATTACTTTCTTATAGTGGTGACCGGTGTTTGGAACTTTTTGAAGCTTAAAAGTACACTACTCCACTTCCAAATAACCTAAATCTCAAACATTTCAAACCTGAAATTTTACTTTAACGGTCGGTGTCTTGCGCATGCAAAACAAGATTATCGAAAAGTGTAGCATCGTGTGTCTTGCAGAGTGTCTTTGACAAAATATCAACCACTCTGACATGTGCATGCATTATACCCAAAGCAAATGCGAGACGGCGATTTAAAAAACAACTATGCTTAATTATACCTTATTTGAACTTTCATTTAGGGGCACAGTTTCGCAAAGTGAACTGGAAGTGGAGAGGAGAGGGCTGAAATATGAAAAGCTATGAAACCTACCCGCAAAATCGGCCAACAAACGGGTTTCTGCCTGGATTTGTCACACCTTTCTCTCGAAGGTGGGGTATCTGGAGCTCAAGTTGACTGGGGCCTCACCCCCTCTTGTTCGAATTGAATAGGAAACTACACCTCTGATCTCAATGCACGTTCAAAATAAACCCTACTTTGTGCGAACCTCCATGATGGCTCGGCCTTCGATCCCAGCGTTATCTGGTTCTTCACACGGGACACGGTGGCGCCAGTGGTAAATCGTTGGTTACGTTCGACGCTCGGCGAGATGCCCCTGCTTCGAAATATTATCCCAGTTATTTGGGATCAGAATGAGAATGAGACCACCTCGGTATGAGAGCAGTGATTTCTCGAAAATCTCGCCTCTGCCGATGCATAAGGCATGCAGTTTTGCTTAAGCTGCTGAACATGCAACTTCCATATGCACAGACATGAACGCCGCGTGCGGCTTAACCGCAAACCAAGCTCGCCCATTTGCTTTTCGCCAAAGCCCTCACGTGGCGCGCAGCTGCGCGGTCCACCTGCGGGAACCGCCTCCATCAGCATCACTTCCAGCTTGCCACGTGCCAAGCGCCACTTAAAGCGATCGTGTACGGCTCTAGCTGCAGCCGCCGGCGCAGTCTGCGCCTTGATGGCGGCGGCAACTCCTGACGGCCGGCCGGCCAGTCAGCTGAATAATGCAGTCGCCCATTTCCTCACCGTGTATCGATGGGTGCTGCAGCGCTTTGGCGCGGCGCGGTCTGCCCCTGGAGCGCCGACAGAGCCGAGCTCACCGCGCTCAGCGGCCCCCCGGTGGATGAGGGCTGCAGCGCCGAGATGGCCGAGCTCACCACCCCCAGCGGACCGGCCGTAGACGAGGACTGCAGCGCCGAGAACGCGGCGCCCATCGAGCTCGGAGGCCCGCCGGCGGAGCTGTGGGCGTTGCCGCTTGCTCCTGGAAACAACGGGGCGTCGATGGGGCGTCAGTGCACGAACGCTGTGAGACCGGGCTGGCTCGGGCGACGGCAGCTGATCATCCTGAATGCTATGGTGAGTATCATGATGATGACCATGTTGGGCTTGAATGTACTCCGATAAAGGTAAAGCTGCAACTCTGTTTCGCTCACTGACAAATGCAGAACGCTTGTGCTGGTTTCGAGGCCCAGGAACGAGCCCCGACCGCGCCCTGACATTCCAGGAGAGGATTCCGTGGCCAACGAGAGGGTGGTGGCTGGTGGACGCCCGCTTGTAGTCGGAATGCTTACTGAACATGCAACAAGCTGACGTTTGTTTTATATATTTAGTAGGCGTACATAATTGTTACAAAAGGCGTGCTGTTATTATTTAAACTTTTGCGGCCAAATAGAAGCGCGTTCCTCCCTACATACCAAAACTGAAGGCAGGCGGCCGTGCAGTACTTTGCAAGAGAATGTCACCCAGCCGCTGTTCCCAACGCATGCATCGGCTATGAGGCTAAGACATGCAACTAGGAGTGGTATAATAGCACGATGTAACGCCTCATTCCATGCCCGCATACAAGCAGGAATTATGCAACAATAGGTCAACGCGGACGCCGCATGCCGCGGCTCATTAATATGAAGAGTGCGCGCCGCCCGGCCGGCGCTCTCACCGTCGGTCGCTTACCGTGACCGGGCTGTGACGTCAGCCCCAAGGCGTCCGGCGGGCGCGCGCCCTCCAGGGACCTCTGGCTGACCAGCTGAGACCTCTGTCGGGCGTCGCCGAGCGCATCCGGCTGCGACAGCTCCCCTTAAAAACGACCACAGCTTGTCGTGAGCCGTGGCCACCCGGAGAGCGGCATCGAGCTTGCACCGTAAACGTCGTACAAGATGCAATAGGCATTCCAGTTTCATAAGGCCTCGCTGTTTCCTGGTCTAGCATGCAATTAAAGTTTGCTTACAAGACACGCACGTCATCGATTGCGGGCAGGACTGAGGGGGGGGCGGGACGGGAAAGGGCGCGATCCGAGCGACGTTCTAGAAAAGCATTCTAGAGCATTCGTCTGCTGCGCCCATGCGCTTATGCGCCTCTGCCGCGCTTATAAGAGCCAAAAGCCAATTCACTCACCTCAAGGTTTTCATGGAGCTCATACATCTGTCCAAAACACAGACACCAGAAGAGATCGCTTTGAAGTGTGTAATCACACCGGCCGCATCGGCCATGTCATGGCGTACCTGCTTCCGCAATCGTCATCTCGCCTGAAAGGCTGCATCGCTGGTGAGAGCAGACTGCACCTGACGAGAGCAGGCGAGATCGCTCGCAAAGTACGGCAGCAGTCGCCGCCGCCCGGGAAGCCATCGGCCCAGATTCTCAGCGTCAGATTCGTAGCCGGAATCATTTTCTTAATGACCAAGCTTATGGGATTAGCTCTCCTAACGTCGAAAATGCTAAAATCAGAGGCGTGCGGGGGGGAAGAGACGCCGCCGACCTCGCTTTAGACGCGGTCAAAGACAATACCCAGCGCGGGAAAGCTCCACATCCGCCCTATGAATTAGCAGTTATTTGTGTATGCAATATCCTATGTCGAGATCCTGGTGCAGAAGCTTGCAGCCCTTGTCGGCACGTCATGCCGCCTGGCACCTATCATTACATCAGACAATCAAGTTCCCGGGCATCAAATTCCCCGGGCGGAACCTTCGCGGCGTTCTCTGCGGGCGTCCAACACCGCCCCGATAATAACACGGTCATGCCTAGCCACCCCGACTCTCACACACAGTGACATGCATGCACGCGATAGTGGCGGGAGATTGGCCCTGCCGGCGCCAGAGATAGGCCGGTATCGATCACACAACACGTCCACGCGATCCGCGAGGCGGCTGCGCTCCTCCCGTCCGCTCGCGCTCTCCGTGTCCGCGGGCAGAGCCGGCCGTGCCGCCGCCGGTCGCAGCCGGGCCCGGCGCCCCTCAAGAGCTGCGCACGACACAGCCGGGCACGGCCGGATCGGGGAGGGCCGCTAAGACCGGCCGCTTTCTGATCAAGTGCGGCGGGAGACGGCGGAAGAGTTCCGCTGCCGCTACGTAAGCAGGCCTTCGCGGAAGCACAGCTGTGGTGGCTTTGTGGGACTGCAGAACTGTTAAAGCATGGTGCCCTGCCTGCTTATAATTGAATAATAGTGAACCGTTTAAATATGAGCTTTCTGCGGCCACTGGGGTAATTCGCTCTGATGCAGGGGAATGTATGACTGTAATTACGTCCAGAGTTTTTCCATACGATCATGCTACAATAGTGCACGGAGGCGTATTGCCGCAAAGCCGATGCAGTTTACTTTGTGCGAACTAAAAGCAAAAACGCGATGTACAAACACGGCAGCACCACTCCACATGGTAACGAAAGCATGCATATGTTGAATGCTTCTGAGGTTTTGGTTCTCCGTTTATGAAATTATAAAGAGGAGCTGGTCATTTTATAAATCCTCCGAATATGTAGTAATCGGTATAGCACTTGAAGGAGTTTAGAGAAGGTTTCGCAGTTCAGTGAAAGGCCCATATGCAGCTCAAATTACTACAGAAAATATAACGCCCCATTATGCCGAAATGCAGAGCGACACAGTGTGCAAACGCTGAAAACTGGGCGCAATGGCCCGGTAGTTAGGGCATCGGACTCTCACGTGGGGCCCGGGTTCGATTCCCGGTGGCGCCATGACCCCTGGACGTTAACATGGCCATTGCATTCGTTGCAATCCATGAAAGGGGCGTGGCGATGTGCCCGTGTTCCTCTTTTATAGAAAAAAGAGCGGGCGAAGACATTGTGCCGCCACCTATATAGGACATTTGCAAGGAACGGTCACTGCCAAGTGTAGAATGAAAACCATTGTGGGATATGCAGTATCAGCGACCTCATATCTAAAATTGCGTTGAATATGATTGGTGGTTGTCAGAAGAGCTGCCCGATAACCATCGTTTCCTTCGCAGCACTATTACCCAGTTGGCCCACAATCCAACACCACCCCAATCACGCAGAGACTGCAGTTTTGCCACCTTCGCCAGCATACGGTGTCACACTCACGTGTCGGCAATTGAAAAGGCTATAATGCTGCTGAAATTCTTCGTCAAAATGTGGATAAATTCTTCGTCAACAATGGATAAAACAATTAGATTCACACCATCTTGGTTTCAGAGCGGAGTCCCGATGGTTTGCTCTTTAGAAGAAGTATGCAATGTTAGGTGTCGTCAGCTTAATCTATTGAACTATTTATATAAGCAGCGTTGATATCAGTTTATCAAGTAATGCCCTTGAGGGCCTTTTGCAGATAGGCCAACATGAAGACTTCCCGGGCTTACATGGGGAATACGCGTGCGCCAGCTTGTCAAAAACGCAGGCGATACTCGGGAACGCATCGAGCCATGTCAACTAGCACTATCCTGGCTCGAATTTAGCGCGGTTATGAACAGGGCATAATGTGTCGATATACGCCAAACACCCGCGATATCATTGCAAGCAGCTTCGACTATACTTGCATAGTATCATATATATATATATATATATATATATATATATATATATATATATATATATATATATATTCCAAACCGCAGCGTGGCGGCTTTCGAAGGAACCACCTCGCGACCAAAATGAAGATGTCCATAATCTTGAGGCTTTTCTACTGGACTTGGATCAGTCGACTGATTTAGTGGCACTATGAGCCAAATGCCGATCGACCATCTTGGTTCCCGAGTCATAAAGTGCGCGCCAACACGCATCTTTCAGATATTCAACCTGACAAAAGACGCGCGACGCGGGCTGAATTGTTGTTAGGACGATGCTGCTAATTAGAGGCCTCTGGAAATGATGTGGATAAGTTGAAACTATGCGTTCTCCGAACGCACTGCACCATTCTAGACCCGCCCACACCCGTTAGCGCGCGTGCTGACTTTGCCAAAAATTAGTGCTGATCAGGTTTTAAGAGCACCATTCAAAATCCTCGACCCTTTGACCTGTGAGGTAACGGGGTCAACAGCACGTCACGTCAACAACAATGCTTGTCGTCAAAAGCTGGCGATATTTGCAGAAATGTAGGATACAGCCTGCGTTTCCCCCCCCCCCGCATCTCTTACGCTGAGGGGCTGGTTCCTGGGTGCTTTTTAGCTACATTTTCCACTGCCTCTTCACCTGGGCTTGAGATGTCTCTGCATGCGCTCAGGATGCTTCTCTATCTACGTTTGTCTGCGCTCATCCAGTTAGTTAGCTGGGCACGCCTCTACCTGCATGCTCGCGCACCACCACACCTACGTCTCTAGGCGCTCCACTGCCTGGATTTAGGGGTCCTCTCCTCTTTGTGTTAGAAAACTCCTCTGCCATGACCAGGAGTGACACCTGGGCGCTCCCCTGCCATGACCAGGGGTGACACTTGGGCGCTTCTCTGCCAAGAGTAGGGCTATCACTCAACCGGGGCCAAGGGTCGCACTGTTATTTGAGTTTAAGACTAGGGGTGTTATTTCGTAGAGAAGGCTGGGAGGACCGTATACGCTGAAACGGCTAAGCCCACCACAAAATGTGCTTAAAAGCATATTTCTACCCGAATTTGACCCATATAGCACTTAGAGTTGAGGGCGAACTGGAGTCCTCCAGCAGCTGAATAGTGAATTACACGCCTGTTTAGGGTGTCTGTCTGCTTGGACTTAAAGGCATCCCATCACTAATGATTTGAGCCTCTACGTCGGGGTGGGGCGCTCTTCGCCCAAGCCCGATGCGCATCCTTACCTAGCGGTGGAAAAAGTCTCTCTACCTCTACCCGCTACTCTACTCTCTCTACCCGAGCTCACGACGCACTCTATTTGGATTTAGAGCACCCACCCTCCGGTCTTAGAGTACCCTTTGGCTACTTAGGTCGTCACTTAGGCTCAAAGGCGCCCACTCTTCTTGAACTCTAAGCGCCCATCTCTCGACTTCTTGTGACGGCAGCGCCTTATCAGCAAAATAGCGCCCAGCTGTTGGGTTCTAGAGCGAGGTCCAGGCCTGTGTGGGGCCCGGCTGAGAGGCCCATAAGCTTCTGTACTCTTAAGGTTTAGTATTCGCCCGGGTGACTGGTTGAATACCCTTTGCTCGCGTGAGGGTCAATTTCATCCCCTAAGATTTCAAAAGCTAAGGGAGCTAGAATCACCAAATATGCATGGTGTATTGGCCTGCATATAAACTCACTTGTGTCAAGATGAGAGGTTCCTAGGTCACCGCCTTTGGGTCAAATATGGCCAAACAAGGTCAAACTCCCGATTTATGTCTCAGGTCCCCCAGGACCTAGGTACCTGTTCTAAGTAAAACGTCGCTGGTACTCATCTAAGTTAGTGACCTTGTTTGACCTTTCGCAGTTCATGGTGACAAAAATCATGCAAGACTGCTTTGAGTATTGCATTTGAATGACCGACAAATATTTCGCTACGCAGTATGTTCCTAAAAACAAAATATTGATCTGGGTTATTTTCGGTCAGTGACCTATCCTGACCTTAAAAGAGTCCTTGGTAAAAGCACACTACGGTTCCTGTTATCTATAAATTTGAAATTAGTGCTAGAAATTACTCCACACAGCAAGCTTTAGAGCAACGCGTCCCAAGCCCTAGGTGCCCAGGTCATGGTCTCTGGTCTCTATGGCCTCTGGTCTCTATGCAATGCATATTGCATATGCATTTCATACCATTGCATGCGATGTTTTTCTCGCGGTTGTAGGCTGGGGGATGGTTTTCCCCGTTATCAATGACTTAGACATGAAATCGGTGAGCACGTATCAAAGCACTTGTGCTAAACACATGTGTTTGTTCTATATAGTCACAAGTAATGCTGCGGAAGACAAACATTACCGGGATGAACTTGTGTGCGGCATGTGTTTTTGCATACGTCGCGAAGGCCAATGAACCATGGGATCGCAGTTACCATTCGTGCTTGAGAATCACTGCATGCTATCGAAGCACTCTGTTATATATTTTATCAGCTGGTTTACCTTCGCATCTGCCGATTTATCATGAGCACACTGAATTTCGATTATACAAATACCGAATTCCGAAAGCCAAGCCGTGCCGGGCTTGTTCCTCGGACCATTTAGCTCTCAGCCTCGCGCACATATTGTCTCAATATAGTTACCTACCTTGAACCATTTCTTCAGAAGCTTGTTTTTTCGCATTGATCCAATAATCAAAGTTTGAATAAAAACGTAGGTGGTCAAGTGGTGCGGTTGCCTATTCAATTGGTGAACCACCCCACTCCAAAAATTAGAAAAAAGCTGGGCCAAAACAGTGGAGGACTCCGTCTTAAGTATTTTACGGGTAGGGTTAGCCAGGTTTTCCCGCTCGGTTCCGCCACTCATCCTATTTGGAGGCGTTACTCCCAGTTCTAATTCATTCGTTTTATGTGGTTTAATTGGCTTAAAAACAGTGTCATGCTCGTAGATACGGGCTGAGGTTGGATGGGGTTTTCACATTGTTCACCCACTATGGCGGAACGAGTTGGAGATTGAATTTGGCTAAAAACCAACTTTGCCCATATATTATCTAGTTGCAATTTTACGTTCACATGATTTTGATGACACCAATTTAGTTGGAGCACCGATGGACTTCATTCGATTTTGGATTTGAAAAGAGTGCGTTAGCTGAGGGTTGGATCTAAAATTGACTGTTGATCATGATCTAATGATCAGATCTAAAGCTGACTGTTGATCATGATCTAATGATCAGATCCAAAGCTGGCTGTTGATCGTGATCTAATAATCAGATCCAAAGCTGACTGTTGATCATGATCTAATGATCAGATCTAAAGTTGACTGTTGATCATGATCTAATGATCAGATCTAAAGCTGACTGTTGATCATGATCTAATGATCAGATCTAAAGCTGGATAAGCATCGACCTGTGAAGAACATTTCTGGAAAAGTTTTATCGTCACGTCGCGCGAGGGCAAACATAAACGTCATTGAATGGCAAGGATAATAATGTTTATCCTGTCTTGCGTTGGTTGTTCCAAAACATTCTTGGAAGAGTAAAAGCACAACGAATGAGCTCACCTTCACGATTATGACGCTTTTTTGACGCCTCATTAAACTTTCAAAAAGGTCCAGGATCGAGACGTCAAAATATGCATTTCATTTCGTATTCAATGCAGAAATTGCGATAGGCATTGTGCTTTTTTCAAATAATGATTTACGACAGAAGTAGATTATGCTTTTATGTGCATTTACTTTGACGTATTTGGCCGATATCGGATACTTTCACCTACAGGTTGTGTTGATTGTACCCGCTCAAACATTGCAAAATTGACATACTCATTCAAGCAGTTTTCTGAATGGGTATCAAGCTTCATGCAACTTGCGACAATGCTGTCACATGCAGCTGAAATCACATGCGACGTCAGGGTAATAGCCAAGTTGGAGCAGAGCCACGGACTAGCACAGGCCAGAAACGTAGTATTTCAAGCATGCTAACCGGATGTTAACTTAAACAGGAAGCATATTTCCAGCTAATCCTCTCGTTGTTGGGACACCCTCCGGTTCCCACCGAGGTCAAAATGAGCAGGCCAGCAGTCACCTCGCTCTCCCAACCCCGAACAAGACCTATGGCTCAGAATGTATGGAAACTGCTTCCGCTGGTGAAAGGTTGAGCTGTTTACGTAATCGCGCAACTGTTTCATGAGTACATCAATGGGGGTCAACCAGTGCTTGGACACCGCAGGTTTAGCCGGAAATCAAGCCCTGTAATATGTGTTGAACACTGCGTGGTAATAAGTGAACTACTTACCCTTAGTCCCCTTTCCATTCAAAACTTGGAGGATGTGACGAAAATTAGGGTTTAGAACCTTGAGCGCTTAAGAAAACCGAAATGCGTGTCACCATATTACATATGTTTCCTCAGCATTAAAATTTCATGTGCACATGGTGGAATACCAAATCTTGAATATATACGTTTGTTCTAAGGACGTTTACATCAGGCAAGTGTGAAGTGTGCAGCAAATGTTTGTTTTTTACTTGAAGTTCTATCACTGCAGCCTAAAAATGGCTTTGGCTGTTAGAAAAGTATGTTTTTAGATTAATCAAATAAATGATGTTATTGTAATGGACATATAAGGTTTGCACTTATGTTTGCTTCGACTTTTTCTAATGTGCATGTAAAACCAGACACACACACACACATACACACACACACACACACACACACACACACACACACACACACACACACACACACACACACACACACACACACACACACACACACACACACACACACACACGCACGCACGCACGCACACACACGCACACACACACACACACACACACACACACACACACACACACACACACACACACACACACACACACACACACACACATACATACATACATACATACATACATATATATTCATACGCATATATATATATATGCACATGCCACATGGAAGATTTGTCACGTTTTCCTTTTGCCAGTGGTGAAAAAGAAAACACATGTAGTGATTATCCTGAAGTGAAGGTGGTGCTGAGAGTGCGTCTGTCGCTCACGACCGATTCCTTTTTTCCTGGACACATCCTAGCCCCATGAAGCCTCCGTAACAAAAGGAAAGGTATTTCGGGGCTCCTTGTATTTTGCTACCGAGAGAAACAAGTATGGATTTGCCTTACTTTACAAAGCCTACGTCGATTTAAGATCATTCATGGCTCATAGCTCCTGTAAAGGACGCCTGACTTTATTGTATGCCATAATCCTCTGCATAAAGGTAGAAGCATCACTGCGATGGGAAATGGATGCTCAGGATGGCAAGTATCGTGACATGGTTAGGAATGTTTGTGACTTTCTGAAGCCCTTTCGGGTGACGTGCGAGTGTCGGTGCGTGATCAGTGATGCTTATATCACTTATCACAGGAAATGTTGTAAGCAAACTTTGCATCCAAGCCATCCCAGTGACAGTGACCAGTAAACCCGGTGAACACGCAACTAAGACAACGACGAAATCAGCGTACGTTTGGAAAAACTCTGGATCATTACAACATGGTGCAAAAGTGCGTCAGAAAGGGCTGCCGATATCTATTCAAGCAGCTGCACTGGACGAAAGGAAAGCTTTCCGTAAGCGGCGCGTTTCAAGAGGCGGCCAGCTGTAGCCTGCGCATTCCGATGCAGCGGCCATGACCTGCCGTAACGAGTCGGCCAAGAGAGGTGGCCAGGTCGCGGCCGCGCGGCGGCTCACCTGTCGTCCTGCGCCGCGAGACACCGTCGGCGGCCGTGGGACTGCCCACCTCCTCCTCCTCCTCGACGATGGTGTACACCTCGCCGGCGCTGGGCTCCATCACCACAGAGCTGGGGCCCGACGACTCGCCGTCGCTCTCGCCGTCGCTCTCGTCGTCGCTCTCGACGTCGCAGTAGCGAATCACGTGGCTCGGATCGCGTGGCGGCGGCGAGGGGGAGTCAGGCGGCGGCGCGGGGGAGTCGAGCGACGGCGCGGGCGCCGTCGCCGGCGGGTGCGGGATCATCGACGCCTGCAGAGAGGTGCGCACGCGTGGGGACTTGATGGAGGAGGAGAGGATGGTGGCGCCGTCGCGCGAGCCTCGGACGCCGGCCGACGCGCTGGGCGACGCGCGAGACGGCCGCAGGTCCAGGTCGTCCTCGGCCAGGTCCAGGAAGCCGGCCGGGATGTGCACGCCGAACCGGTTGGAGAACTGAGAGCGCGCTTTGATCTCTGGCGCCGAGCTGGGCCGCTCGCACGGGAGCGCGTCGTCGTCGATGCGCCCGACGCTGCTCATCGGCGAGGGCGTGGCGAGCCGGTCCGAGCACGACTCGAGCGCCAGCAGCGGCGACTCGCCCGGACTCGGAGGCGAGTCGTTGTCGACGCCCAGCGACGCCAGCGACTGTAGGAAGCGTTTGCGGCGCGTTACCCTGTTTTCGTAATCGGTGTCGCGGCCCGGCTCCGCCTTTGGAGGTGATGTCGTACCACTGGCGTCGCTGCCGACGACGACGGCGACTGCCGGGGGCTGGCCGTTGGCGTTCGCAGGAGGAGCGGCAGAGGCGGCCGGCACGCTGCTGGAGGTAGCCGCGCCAGCTGCCGCCGACGGCTTCAGGAACGATAGCAGCTCCGTCGCTGTGTGCTGCACCTTGCCAGCGGCGGCGGCGACCAGCGGCGTCGGCACGTAGATCTTGGACTTTGGCAAGCTCGACGACGGGCTGGTCGCCAGCTGCTGGGCAGAGGACACCTGCGCCAGCGAGGCCCTTGTCCGCTCCTGCGTCAGCTGTAGTTGCTTTTGATACTCCTCCTTTTGCTGTTCGGCCCTGAGCACGAGTTCCCGCTCCCGTTCCTGCTGCAGCCTCTGCAGGTGGGCAATCTGCTGCTGCTGTTCCAAGAGCTGCTGCTGCTGCTGCAATATCTGTTGCTGCTGCTGCTCATTGAGCTGGCTAGAGGGAGCGGCCGCCATCGGCGCGGAAGACATGACGACATCGGACAATGTGAGTGCGGTGGCAGTGGTGGGCGCGGCCGTTTGTACTTGAGCGCGGCTGAAAGCGGGGCTGGCCCGGCCCTCGGCTGCTCTCAGCGCCTGCGCCGACTGCTGGATCGAGTGGTTCACATCGGCGTGCAGGCCGTGGAGCGGTGCCGACTGCTGCGGCGGGAGCAGACCGCCCAGACCCTCCGACACCTTCCCCTTAAGGCTGGTCTGCAGCTGAGTGAACAGACCCCGCTCTGGGATGCTCGGCTGCGCCGGCACACTAGCCACCGGCGCCGGCGTTGGCGCCGCCGCGTTCTGAGACGTGAGTGACGGGTCGAGCAATTTTTCGGTCAAAGTTTTATCAAACTTGGCTAGCAGCTTGTCTGTCTTGCCGAAGAAATTGTCGAGCGTTCGTTCCACGGCGCTGATTTGCGGTTTCTTGGCGGCGACGGACGGCGTGGGCCCGCTGCCGGCGCCGGCCATCGACGGACCACCTGCCGCCGGCGGCTGCGCGCGCCCGGCTATCGACGCTCGCGCGCCATCCGTGGTGACTGGCGCTGGCCCACCATCGGCCGGGCCGGACGCAATCACGCCGCCCGGCCCGCCGGAGAGCTGGGAACCGACGGGATGCATGACAGGCTGGCCACTGGGGCTCGGGAAGCTGGGAGCAGAAACGTTGGGCCGGCTGCTGGGGGGCTGGAGGCCGGGTGGAAGCATGCCCGGCTGGATGTTGGGCTGGGGTCCGGGAGGAAATGGGTGGGTATGTGGGCCACGCTGGAACATTCCCGACAGAGAATTTATCGGCTGGGAGCTAGACGAGAAAATGCTTGGCTGAGTGCTGGCAGGGTGCAGTTTGGGCAGTAAATTATCCTGCTGGGAGGTTGGCGAAATTATGCTGCTCTGGAAATTCATAGGCTCGAAACTGTTCTGGTTCACAGACGGCTGGTGGATAGGAATTGTCCCCGGCTGCGACATGGATGGCGAATCTTCTCGCTGGGGACTAGAATGGTAAGAGACGGACTGCGGACTGGGCGAGTGGGAATCTGACAGCGACGTCGGCGGATGGGAATTCGAATGGGAGTTGGGCGAATAGGAGCCCACCTGTGGGACGGGCGAGTACGAGTTGGACTGGGATCCGGGCGGATAACAGCCTGGATGTTGGCCAGGTGGGTAGGCGCCAGGCTGAGAGCCAGGCGGGTGAGCGTTTGACTGAGAGCTGGGTGGAAGCGCGCCAGGCTGCGAGCCGGGCGGATAGGCGCCAGTCTGCGAACCTCCCGGGAATCCCGCGGGCTGGCCGACCGTCGGACGCCCACCGGGCTCCGCGACGCGCGGCGCTCCTCCCATCTGCTGCGCGGCGCCTCGACCTGCTTCCTGCTGCCGCTCCTGCTGCGCGGCGGGCGAGGCGCTGCCTAGCCGCGGGCCGTCCTGCCCGCCGCCGGGGTGCGCCATCACCGTCGGCGGCGGCGCCGGCTGACGCGGCATACGCAGGCGCGGCCGCATCGCGCCGCGTGGCCCCATCATGCGCGGCCGCAGCGGGCGGGCGCCCTGCGGGCCGGGCCCGCGCGGCCGAGGCCCGCGCATTCGCGGCGGGACGGCGCCACCGGGCAGGAGCGGGCTCTGGGTCAGGCTGGCGGGGTCGGGCTGGCTCTTCTCTATGTACTCACTGTGCACGCCGCTGGTGGCGAACTGACGCTGCTGCGATCCGTTGGGCATCTGGAATCGTACGCGAGCGGACGTGAACGACGGCGGGGCGCGGCAAATGTCCGAAGATGTAGGCGCAAACGTATTGTCAGCACGACATTAACAAAGCCTGCAAACGCAGCGGCCAATCGGATGGTTACCTCAAAAAGTAGATGTTAATCACGCCTGCCGCGGCCAGTGCGGGCGCGACACCAATCGGCGGTGCGTGGCACTTACCCGGCGGTGCCGGCGGGGCGGGGCATGTATCGGGCGCGCCGAGGGAAGGCCGCCACTCGGGCCGGAGATAGATGGGGAGCGGTCCTATCGAGCTGCCGCCGGCCGGACGCCGGACGCGCCATTGTTGGCCGACACATGACCGCCGCAGATAAACACCCGCCATAATGTGGCCGGCAGCGGGTAAAACGCGGCGGCGGCGGGCCCCGTCCGGCCCGGTGCGCGTCCGCTCGCCTCCGATCGATGGGCAAAATTCTCCCTTGTCATGCGATCGCCTCAGCGTCCACAGCAGGGCCGGACTAATGGCCACTCGGCAGGCACATTTCTCCCTCCGCCGCCTTCAGGCGGGCTCCGGCTGAGCCGGCGGTCGGAAGGGATGGGGGGGGGGGGGGAGGCAGAAGCGACCCATTCTGCCGGCTCCAGGCAAGCACTGATGGAGGACGAAGGGATCCCCTGTGGCTCGAGGGAGTAGGGATTTCCTCTACCGACCACTGGTGGGCTCTGGTGACTGGTTTCCGGTGTCTCCTTAGCTCCAGACAGTCTCCAGTGGAGGGAAAAGGGCTTAATTCTCTCGTCTTCAGACGGTCTCTGAAGGTGGTGGCAGAGGTTCAGTCTGACGGCTTCAGACAGCCTCCCGAGGCAGGGGCCCTCTCTGTCGAAGTTCCTCTGCACTCCAGGGCGTCTTATTTCGCAGAAAATAATCTTGGAACCTTAGACTGTAACGCAACACAAAGCTGCTTCGCGGAACAGCCCTGGTGCAGGTGCGAGCTCCCATGTGCGAAGCAAGTGCAGTCGGTTTGTGCACATATCAGGCGAGTGGACGGTAGGCATTCATCACCAGTCAGCCGTAATGTGGGGTGATGTACGAAATGAAAACCAAGGAACCAGTTGCAGCATTTCATTTTTACAAATATTTTGTCTTAACCTTTTGATTAAATAGAATTATGGGGTCGACGCCCACGCTCGACGGTGCTTGTCTCGTAAGACATGACACCGCCATTCGACCGCGGCGCTTGGCGTAACGTTAGAACTATACGGCGAAAGTTTAACGGGCTTGCCGCTCGGCAATGCCATTCTACCCTGAGAGTAGAACCCCTGACGTCATCTGACATTTATCGTACCCGCTGTTACCTGCCGTAGTCCATGCCAGCCGGAACAAAAAAATGAGTGCATAAGGCGACTCGAGCCCTGCCCACATCCAGTGAATCGAAAGGCAGGTGTTCTCACCAACCACGTGATTGGAACGGATTGTGGAAGGGAAGGGAGATATCAGCTAGTTTTGCGTGCAGGCTTAAACATTTGGTTTCTGTGCTCATGATTTGGCTCCGGCTGACATGGACTGCGACCAGTAGCGGCAGCGAGAAAGGTCATGTGACGTCAAAAGGTCCTACTCTCAGGGTTGGATGGGCAGTGCCAAGCGTTACGGCACGTTAAGCTTTCGCCGTGCAATTCCACCGTTGGGCCGGAATTTCACGATCCGCTGGTGTCAACAGGCAACAAGCCTTCTATACGTGGGCGCTGGGCCGAGGATTTATCCAACCAAAAGGTTAGGAATAACTCTCTAGAGAATATGAAATGCCTTAAGTGATTCCTTCGTTTTTATTTCGTACATTTTGCCAAATTAAGGCCAAATGGCTATGCATGCCTATCACGTGATTGCGTGATATTGGAGCAGAACCGATCGCACAGAAGCCTCTTCAGCTCACGTCGATTGCAATCGAGCTTCATTACCACGTCGTCGAACGAACGCTTCCACAACGTGGTCGAATGCTCCACTTTAGATATCGTCGAACGTCGAACGTCGAAGGACCATCAATCACTTCACCACTCAAATCTGTCTGCGGCCGGGGGCATGTGTCTGCATCAGAGCTGTTCCGTACAGAAACTTGGCGCCGCGTCACAGTCCAAGGTTCCAGGATTGAATTCCGAGAGCTTAGCCGCGTTGGAACGTGAGGGGACTTTATGTTTGCGGTAACTGCACCACCACTAGCTCCGGAGTGGTTATTTAGCCTAGCACCTCTCCCTCCTCCTCCCTGCTTCTCCCTCTGACCCTGGGCCGGGCTGCAGAGGCGGGGTGCGGGCGGCGCAGACCACCCTGCTTGCGACCGCGGTGGCGCGGGCTGGGCGCCAGCCCGGCCGACCGGCGCCTATTTGCGACTGCAAACAAGCCTTGACCCAACTAACCGATGATCTGAATCCATAATTCACGAGCATCAGCGTTCTGTTGAACAGCACCGGCTGCGGTCGACGCACGGCAATCATATGCTGGCGTGCTCGCCCCGCGGGTCGGTGGTCTAGACAGACCCGCGCCGCTCGTGCGCCCTCGCTGCTCGGTCTAAATTCAGTTTAAAATTGAACGGAACTTACCGCATTTGACGCATGATTCTTACGATTGTGTATGCCGTAAGAGTATTGGTTGCTGCTAACAAAGCTCAGAGAATCTGGTTAGGCTGCTCGAACTCTGCCGTAAGGTATCAACGAATGACCTTAATCTCCGGTGACAGTTCGTAAGGATTGTCATGTCTATAGATATGATTCTACAGATGCTAGTTATAAAATTGCTTGCCGTGACGAGCAATAACACTTTTTATGAGGTTATGCAATGATAGTGATGATATCTCATGCAGCCAAAATGTTTGCGTAGAAGTGCAAGGCGACTTCAAGATATGAAGAGCTTGGCACCATCGGCTTATGTAATGCTATCTGAGCGTCCCAGAATGTGTCTGCATAATCTTCGCATCCATGGCAATAAGCATACGTCTGGTTGGCCGAGGAGTCGATACGAAAAGATGGATGCCAAATCGATTGGACAGCGGCTGTGAATCTCTCTCGCGAAGATACTACTGACTATGGGTTCCATGAGCGCAAAATGGTCAGTGTGTCATCGGAGGAGGTACTTCACGACCTCGCACACCTCGTACACCTCGTAGTGCACCTCGTCGCAACCACTTAAGTCGAGAGACCATCTACCTGTTCGTGGAGATAATGGCACTCCTGGTCAGGAGCACGACCTAATGCACTGAAGCCTGGCGTCGCAACCACTAATGTCGAGAGACCATCTACCTGTTCGTGGAGATAATGACACTCCTGGTCAGGAGCACGACCTAATGCACTGAAGCCTGGCGTGCGGAGCCACCATTACGGCCTACTTAGTTTTTCAGCCTGACCTATCCTGGGTTATGTGTAACCGCTCCCAACGCTAGTTTTTAGCTGGTTCGTCGTTTCAGGATTCTTCCATTTGCCTTGGCAAGGAATTTCTCTGTACTCCAGGGTGTTTTGATGCATCCATCATCGAGAGTTGACGGAACCATACTGATCCGGTGCGACAGTATCACAAACGTCTGCAAATAGCTTTGGACATTCAGTTGTGATTTGAAAGCCGTAATCGAAAACAACGGCAGCTCATCGCAGTTTTGAGTGTCTTATATAATGCCGGTGTTTAGAAGGAAATGCCGGGTAGGCGCATGTGGACATTTTTGCGCTTAAGGGGTTTAAGGGTTAACGGGTTTAAAGGGTTAAGAGACGCTTACGCTTTCACGGTTGAAGACACTGAAG